TGTCTCGACACGGTCCGTAATACTCACATCCGGGAGAGCCTTGGTGTGCGGCCTCTGCTTCTCCAGATTGAGAAGTCACAGCTGCGATGGCTTGGCCAGGTTGCGAACGCTTCAACAAAGGAAGGCTAACTTTGTTGCGAAACCGACAGGCGGAAGATCCAAAGGACGGCCAAGGTTAACCTAGTGCAGATATATAGGAGTTTGTTCCAGACTCCAACTCTCTTCTGCCGAAACTCAGACTCTGGCACAGGACTGAGAACGTGAAAGCTCTGTCTGACGCGTCTACTTTTGTGACCTGAAAGGAGAAGCGGCCATGGGAGATGAATTTTGTTTCAAATTAATTAGAACCATACGTAATAAAATAATGAGCACATGGTTCATGCTTAGTTTTCCAATTACAAAGTATCCTAGTACCATTATAAGAAATTTTTGATGGCATCGCGAATTTAAAATAAAATTTTAATTGCACCGATCTCGTAACATACAAAGGTCACTTGCTCAATTAAACCTGTTCCAAATGTATAAACGATCTAAAACTAATTTCCTAAAATTTCAAAGAAAAATCCGTCAATATTTTTTCAGTGGTTTTACTGAATATAAATTTACGTCTACAGCTTGAATTGACTACTAGTCAGCTACCAGATGGATTAAAGAGAATTCTGGGCGCAAAGCAATGTCTCCATGCTCTGGCATGATTACACCAATGCACCATGCTGTCAGTATTTTTCGCACGCCGACGCGCGAGTCGACTTTTCACTCGTTACACTAAAGTACAGGGAGAGATTCTCTTGCTCAACAGACTTAAGCAAACTACTAACCCATTGTGTTACCATCCTCTAGTAACAGACAGATTATCAGGACTTGTGGAAACAAAGAATAAACCAATCTCTTCATGAAACAAATAATTACTGTAATAATATTCGCAAACGTACAAACAAATCTGATTTAGCAGAGGAATATTTCTTGTCACGACGCAATAAGCGGTACCTTACAGCGTAATTATAGCAAGGCTGCGAATATTATGACAAACTCACAGAGTTCTGTTTCTGCAAAGAGCAGAAGTGGTAACCATAACAAATACAAACAAAGCTGAGGCTCAAGAAAGTGAGTTATCGTCTCGTTTTCCATCACTTGCGTATCAGCGTTTTTACTTAAGTCGGGATCGGAAGAACGCAGGCTGATTTTTACTTCGGCGAAAGCCGAAAATAATGCTAGTAAATTGGAAAAAAGGTATAAATTTAAATGGCATATTGTAGTGTCGGTAAGCCGAAATTTCAAAATAGTAAGCTTGAAATTAACCAGATTTTGCTGCATAGGCATATACCGTTTCAGTGGAAACCACGTTCTTTTCGTCGTTGAAGTTGAATGTGATTTCTTCGTCGCTGGAATCGGGCTGGACCTGAAAATTACGTCTCGGTAAATCATTAGAGATAGAGAACGAACGACGGAAGCATTTTGCGACAGTCACTTGGCTGTCATCACTTACCACTGGGATTCTGTGGCTGTTCATATACTCGGAGAACTTCTCGGCCACCCATGCAATTGCTTGATCGATGTCGCGGGTGACAACAAAGTAGATCGGAACGATGTCTTTATAGAGATCAGCGCTAACGCTGTTGTCAGACAGCAGATCCTCAAGGGCGGTCTTCAGGTACTTCCTGAGGAGAATAATTAATTATACATGATGCGAATCAAAACGGACCAGTAAATATAAACATGACCATAAACCTGCAGAACTCGTCTGACAGATCGATGAAAGACAACAGACGGAACAGGTGCGATGCGATGAAGTGAAATGACAGCGTATTTTCGGGAGTTACTGCACAACTGCTCTTTGTTACGTAGCTGAAACAACAACAAAAACAATTCATATATGCGAAACGATCAACATTACAACAAAGCAAGCAGTCATGTGGCAAGACTGAAAAACTGTGAGCCCGCATACGAGCGGGGGAAATGGATTTACTGGGGACGAATCGCTGCAATCACGCGTCTCGACAAAGTCCGGAGAATAGATATCTGAGAGAGCTTTTGGGTACTCCAGCTGCTTCTCCAGACTAACAAGTCGTAGCTACGATGGTTTAGGTATGGTTTGTCAATGTCTTCAGAAATGAACATGAAAGAGCCACTAGTTGCTCAACCGAGAATGGCCAAGAATGACTTGGGGTAAGTATCTCCATGGGAATCTAC